AAAGTCCAACAGCCATTCATGATAAAACCCTATAGAAAGTTGGAGTGGATAATCTTTATCTCAATCTGATATAAACCATCTATGACAAACCAACAGCCAACATCATACTAAATGGACAAAAACTGAAAGTTTTCACTCTGAAATCAGTAACAAGACAAGAATGTCCACTATCACCACTCTTATTCAATATCACTCTTATTCATTATTCACCATTAGCCAGAGCAATTAGACAAGAGAAAAGAATAAAAGGAATAAGGATAGGAAAGGAAGAAGTTAAATTGTCATTATTTGCAGAAGACATGATACTCTACATAAAAGACCCTGAAAAGTCCATCAAAAGGCTTCTAGATTTAATAACTAAATTTAGTAATGTAGCTAAATACAAAGTCAACACTCAAAAATAAATAGCATTCCTGTACACAAATAACAAACTTAGAGAGAAATAGAGAAACAACACCTTTCACAATAGCATCCAAAAAAAAGAAAGAAATACCTAGGAATCAATCTAATGGAGTAAAGATCTTTCATTGAAAACTACAGTACTCTGAAAAAGGAGATCAAAGAGGGTGACAGAAAATGGAATGATATCCCTTGTTCTTGGATAGGAAGAATCAATATAGTGAAAATGTCCATACTTCCAAAATTATTATACAGATTTAATGCAACTCAATAAAAATACCAATAGCGGGCTGGGGATTTAGCTCAGTGGTTTTGCCACCTGCTGCACAAGTGCAAGGACCTGAGTTTGATCCCCAGTACCAAAAAAAAAACAACCAACAAACCAATAGCATATCTCACAGAACTAGAGAAAACAATCCTAAAATTAATCTGGAACCAGAGGAGACCTAGAATAACAAAGGCAATTCTGGACAACAAAGGCAAGGCACAGGACATCACAATCCCTGACCTCAAATTATACTACAAAGCTACTGTGATAAAAACATCATGGTACTGCAAAACAAAAACAAACAAAAACAAAAAAACAGACCTGAGGATCAGTAGAAAGATAGCCTTTTTAGTAAAAGGTGCTGGAAAAACTGGGTTTCCACATGCCAGAGATTAAAACTAGAAACATATCTTTCACCATGCACTAAACTAAAATTGAAATGGATCAAAGATTTAAATATTAAAACAGAAACACTAAATTTGCTGGAAGATAGAATAGGTAGAAATCTTGAATACAGTGGTGTAGGCAGAGACTTTATGAAAAAACCCTGAATGCACAGGAAATGTCACAAAGAATCAACAACTGGGATCTCATTAAAAACCATTTGCACAGCAAGAGAAACCACCAACAGAGTGAAGAGACAAACCACAGTTTGGGAAAAAATGTTTGCCAGCTGTTCCTCAGACAAAGGACTACTATCTAGAATACATAAAGAACTTTAAAAAATCAGACCTCTCAAATTTAAAGACCCAATCCAAAAATGGGCATTTATAATGAATAGATACTTCTCAAATGAAGTAGAAATGGCAAATAAATATATGAAAAAAATGTTCAACATCACTGGTCATTTGAAAGATGCAAATTAAAGCAATGCTGAGATTCCATCTCCCTTCTGATAGAGTGGTTATCATCAAGAAATCAACCAATAACAAATGCTGAAGGGGCTGTGGGGAAAAAGGAACCCTTTTCTACTGTTGGTGGGAGTGTAAACTGGTGCAACCAGTGTGGAAATCAGTATGGAGATTCCTCAAAAATCTAAAACTAGATGATCCATTTGATGTAGCTATTCCCCTTCTTGGTATCTTCTTAAAAGAATTAAAAACATCATACCACTGTGATGTATGCACACCCATGTTTATAGTGGCACAGTTTATAATAGCTAATTCTTGGAAACAGCCCAAATGCCCATCAACCGATGAATGAATGAAGAAGATGTGGTTTTTTATACAGTGGAGTACTACTCTACCATAAGAAGGATAAGCTTGAGATATTTCTAGATAAATGGATGCACCTTGAGGCCATACCCTTAAGTTAAATAAATCAGACACACATATTTAAATGCCATATTGTTTTTATGATGTGAGAAACCAAAAATGTAAATGAAGACAAAATGTATAATAGATTCTTGGAAATAGGAAGAAAATGTTCAAATGGCAAGGGGAACAATGCATGTCTACCTGTGCGTGGTGGCACATACTTGTAATCTCAGCACTTTGGTAGCTGAGGCAGTCGGATTGCTGGGAGTTTGAGACCTGCCTGGGTTACATAGTGAGTTCAAGGCCAGCCTGAACTACACAGTGAACTACACACAGCAAACTACACAGTGAGACTCTATCTCAAAAAACCAAAGGACAAAAAAAAAGAAAAAGAATGTATCTCTAACAGACTTCTTGGTGATGCTAGCATTGTGAATCTGTAGACCACAAGGCATTATTTTATATTAACTATATTAAAAGCTATCGTAACCACCAGGATTTTTTTTAATCTGAAGACTATTTGACATACACTGACAACTTTTTTCAGTGTTTTAAAAAAATGGCTTCCCTAGGGTTGGGGATTTAGCTCACTGGCACTGTGAGTTTGATCCCCAGTACCAAAAAATAAAAAATATATGGCTTCCCTAAAATGGGTGTGTTTTATGAAAATAAATGTATACTTCAATAAAACTGATTTTTAAAAGTATGGCAAAGGCAATATATTCTATGCAAAAAATAGAACATTTTCTTTAAAAAGCAAAGAGATGTTACTGTTTTCTTTTTGCTCCCAATTTTCCTACTGATAAATGAGTACATACCACAATAATGTCAGTACTTCAGGAGGCAATACTCTGACTTGAGTCATTTTAACAATCTGATTCACCAAGAATGGAATAAGAAAATAATGTTTATCAAATATTGTTTTATGATTTTCTAACTTTGTAACAGATTATTAGCAAGTTATGCTAAAATTCAAGAAATCAACAAATTTAGGTCACTTTGACTCATCTATTAACATCAACTTATTAGCTATTACATGATTGATTTTTGCACAATTGAATTGCCCCAACTCCTAAAGTTTTGTTTACCAATTACAGTACAGCAAATGGTACAGGACATGGCACTATGGGAATACTGACAGAGTAAATCAGTACTGTCTACTTATACCTCAACCTTGCACAATAAGGGGTATATACATATTTAAATAAACAAGATGCAATTTTTTGTTTTACTAAAGAATTTAGGCATACCATCCATTAGGAAAGTGACAATTAATTAAAAGAATGTGTTTTTAAAGCAATAATGTCAGGAAATCAATATCCCAAAGCATTCTATTCTAACAGCTATTATCTTTGACAGCCCATAATGCTGAGATTGCTTTAAAAAAAAAAAAGACTCTTTGGAAGAAAAATTTTAGAATTGCTTTCAGTTAGTATATTTTAAAATTTTTATTGATACATTTTATATATATATATAATAGTAACATTCATCATAAGGAATTTGTACATGTATATGATGTATCTTGCTTCTTTTCTTCTTTTTCTCGATTCTCTCCCCTCCCTTCAATCTCTCTTCTCTTCCTTATTTACAAAGCTTTGTTTCCATTTTTTTCCTAGTCTTTTTTGTTCCTTCCCTCCTTTGCCCTAGACCTATTTAATCAGAAACTATGGGAGAGGAGCCTAGCATTGTGTTTTTATATGCCTGCCAGTATTCGTGAAGTTAGTGAAACACTGATGTGATAAAATGTTATCCACTGATTTAAATAAACATTTTATGACACCTCAGGGTGACTCTTAACCCAGTCTCTATTTTGTGATGCATACTAGTAAATGAGTAACTTAATCTGTTTAATTATTTACTAGGAATTTTTGTTCCATGGCATTTCAGTTTTGTTTCTTTGAAGGAAGGGTAGTGAAAGACTGACATTTTGCTAAATTTTTAGTACAGTATTTGTTTAGAAATTTACATCAGTTTAAATATTTGAGATTTATGCAACTTTTTTTCTAAAATTGCAAATTACCTTGTAGAATTTTTAAATTCAACAGCCAGCTAAATCACCTCACAGTGACCTTTTGTATCTTGTATTATCCACACAGCCAGATCTTAGAGACTTGGTATCAACTGGTTTGGTAGTCAGTGACATACCTGGAGGTGTTTTCTTTTTTCTTTTAAAAAATTTTTATTTATTTATTTATGGTACTGGGGACTGAACTCAGGACCTTGTGCTTGTGAGCCAGGTGCGGTGCCACTGAGCTAAATCCCTGGCCAATATTTTCTTTTTTAAACTGAAGCCTTGGTCTTGCTGGGTTTTAGTGCTGAGGCAGAGGAGATCAATTCTGAGACTGATTTAAAATGTACACAATAATCTTTAACAACTCTCGTATCTTTCTACAATATCTCATTAATCACCAATTCTCCTTCCTAAATACTAACTCTGAATCTAATTACTTCTGTCTGTTAATATTGTTTACTTATGGTCTGAGCCATCATCAGCTTTCCTTAGACCTCACATAGACTTATCAGAATCCATTTTCACAATGTGAATGAAGTGGTGTTTAATCACATACATTGGATCATGTCTCTTCCACTTAAAGCTCATCAGTGGTTTCTCATAGAGTCCATTGTACCATGGCCTGTAAGATCTTATCTGATCTACCTTCTCTCAGTTCTCTAGCCCAGAGATCTAGCTGGTTTTAGTGCCTCAAAAGTACTGTTTCGTTCTACCACAGGGCCTTTGCATGTACTGTTCTCATGCGATGCTGCTGACCTTTTATTGATCTTTAAATTTTAAAGATTGCCTTTTCAGGGGACTCTTTCCTGATAACCTCTCTTCACACTCTACTCCTGCATAGCTCTTGTTATATATTTTCATAGCTTTGTCTGCCTTCCCTCTGTACTGTTCCATGAGGATATTTTTGGTGACTAGTACACAACAAAATATCTAGCTTATGGTGTCCATTATATCAATGGATGAATGAACTAATGAATAAAGTATTCACCATGTGTTGAAATAGTGTAATGCTTATTCTGTTGTCAGATTTTTGTGAATAAACTGCCCTTTATTTTTGTGTGCATAGATTATGCTTGTGCTCTCCAGAGAGACATTTTGGTTCAGGGACGACTATACCTTTCAGAAAATTGGCTGTGTTTCTATAGCAACATCTTCAGATGGGAAACTACAGTAAGACATATTTTTGCATTTAATTTGTTGATACAAATAATTGTGTAGATAGAAATATAGATAGTCTTCTTTTTATAAATAGAAATATACACAGTCTTCTTAAAAAGAATGTGTATTAGGGCTGGGGATTTAGCTCAGTGGTTCCACCACTTGCCTCGCAAGTGCAAAGACCCAAGTTTGATCCCCGGTACCAAAAAGCAAATAAACAAACAATGTATATTAGATGATTTTAAAGTAAATTCATATATATTTGTGCATCTGTACTTATATATGTGTAAGTATATTTATGTGTTGTATATATCAATTTATTTTTCTAACAGTGCAGTTTTGGCAGCCAAAACCATGTCTTATGTGAACGATTGTCTGAATTTTGCTTGTGTGCTTTTGTGTTAATGTGGAACATGAGCACCTCCATGTTTTCACACTTTTTTTTGGTACCGGGGATCGAACTCAGGACCTTGTGCTTGTGATGCAGGTGGCGGCACCACTGAGCTAAATCCCCAGCCCCTGTTTTCACACTTTTGTCTTAATGTTAGTTACAGAAGTTGAGGGGTGTGAACACTGAGGGGAAGAGTGGTTGATTGTTACCTTGTTTTTAATAGAGAACACAAGCATGTGCATATTGATTCCTTTAGGTTTTTCAATTGAATATTCTGGATTAGAATGATATAATACTGTGTGTTCTGTGTTGTGTATGTTTCTGAAAAATACACTTTTCAATTTTTATTCTTTTGTATGTTTAGATTTCTATTGCTTTAAAGAATATAACCTTCATGACCAAAGAGAAGACTGCTCGACTTATCCCAAATGCTATCCAGATTGTTACAGAAGGTGAAAAGGTAAAAATATTTTCTGCCTTTGCCATTATTATATAATGTGAAGAAAATCTGCCTCGTACTGATCATCAGCATTGGACACATACGCAATTCTTAGAGTTAAGAATATCTTATAGAGTTGGACTATAATATAGGATCTCTATATGCTTAAATATTGGAGATTAACTCTACATAATTGCTGACCTTTTTTGTACTTATAATTTATAAGAACTTTCACTCTTATCCATTTCTTCTTTCTAAGAGTAGGTAGGGTAAGCATTAGCAAGATGTCCCCATTATTTTAAATACCTAATTATGTTATGATTGTTGTTTAGTCAATAATATGTGCATGATAGCAAAAGGTGAAAACAAATAGTTCTTGAGTTCAGAGATTTAGGTAGCATAAAAGTAAACACATAATTGTTATAATCCTTTTCTTCACTGGTAATTATTTTTAACTGCCTTTACTTTTATTATTCACCTATGATGATTGCTATTTCTTGATGGGGATATATAAGTGATCTTTCTATATGACCTGAAAAACTGATTAAGGCTCTGTATGTAACATTAGGATCAGAATACTAGGAAAGAAAAACAAATAAGAACGAAAAGTATGGAAAGGAATGAGGGGAGGAAGAAAAAGAAGGAAAGGTAGAAAGAGTGTGGGAGAAAGAAGCAGTACTGTGATATTAACTCTGTGTAATTATACTTTTTAGTCTTGTAAAGTTTCTTTCAAATGCACTTTAAATTATTTATCTACCTATTTGGTGTTGGGGATCAAATCCAGGGTCTCATGCATGTCAGGTAATTACTCCACCACTGAGGTGTATTTCCGGCCCCCTTATTTTTATTTTATTTTATTGGTACCGGGGATTGAACTCGGGTCCTTGCGCTTGCAAGGCAGGCAGCAGAACCACTGAGCTAAACCCCCAGCCCTCCCCTTATCTTTATTAAATTTATTTTCTCTTTGTGGTATTGAGGATTGGATCCAGGGAGAGCTGACCTATGTCCCTAGCCTTTTTTAATTTTTATTTTGAGGCAAGGTTTCTGTAAGGTCTTGAACTTGCAGTTCTCTTGCCTCTGCCTCCTGAGTAGCTGGGATTACAGGCATGTACCATTGTGTCTGACTTCCCTTATTTTTATTTTTAAATATTCTCATTCTTCAGAACATTTACTTAGTATTACGACCTTTGGTCCTCAAACTATTTCAGAGTAAGTTGTCACCATGATGCCTCATCATCCTAGAAATTCTGTCATGTACAAGAGGTGATGAAGATATATGGTGAATATTTAAAATTTAAAAATCCTTATAGTAAAAGACACATTACCAAGAATGATGAGATAAGCCTGTTTGAAGCAAGGAGAGTCACTTTTTGGTCTTTTGGCTAAGATCAAGTGAAGTGAGCGGGAAATATTTTGAGGGAGATTAATATCAATGTATTTTACTGTAATAATTTTTAAAATTTAAACATTCATCATAATTGTTGATCATACTACATTGATCAAATGTTTACAGCAATTTCTGTCAATGGAAACATTACAGTATGTCCTCATCCATCTTATTTATCAGATATGACACTGTTCAACTTTTGGCTCTTCCCTCAAATCAAAATGACAATGAAAGGTAAATATTTTTAATCCATTCAGACTATTGAGGCAGCCATGATAGTGAAACTGAAGACACTCACGAAAGAGGACTTCCAGAACTGCTTCAGGAAGTGGCAAGAATGATGGGATGAGTGTGTTTGAAGAGAGGGGGCATATTTTGAGGTGGATTAATGCAATGTGTCTTTTACTATAATAAGTTGTTATTTAAACCTTTACCATATATTGTGATCACACCTCATATTCCCAATACTTTGCTATAAAGTTATTTCTCTTTTTAATTATGATATTTTTGACAAGATACTTTGAAACCATATAAATATTCCACTCTCACAAAACTTTAAATATATTCATTTATTTACTTATATCACTGTGAACTCATGTTTTCTTGTTTTATTTAATGAGTTTTAATCCATTCTCTGGCGTGTTCTTTCTGTTCCAGTCTGTCACTGTGTCACTACGTGGCTGCTGTACTCATTCTGCTCAGATCTGACACCTCAGCATCAAGGACTCTGTTCCACTATGCTCCCCTTACCCGCTCTGGCTCTCAGATGCCTTTGGATGCTGCACTGTTCATAGCCACATTCTTCCCCATGTTTAGCCTTTGATACCCTTTATATGGTAACCTCCCTGGGGCTCTGATTTGTGCCCGTCCCTTATACTCTCCCCCACCCCGGTGCATCACCCTCATACTTTTATTGCTCTGTTCTTGTTTTACTACATTGTTCCAGGGCACCAGCATATGTGGAAGCTCTTCTTACCCATTGAACTCTGACACTGTGTGGGGCGCGGCCTTTCTGTGTGGACGCCCTCCTTATTTCCTGGTTCTGACACACTGCTTTGGGTTACTCTAGCTCCTCTGTCCCCACCCTTGTCTCTAATGTGGATGCCTACTTTTCTTTTACCAAAATCTTTAGGGATGAACTGTTGAGTAAGGGAAGAGGAAGAACTAAAATGTACTAATTTTTAAATTTTTCATTATTTTTAAAAAAATCATCAATTTAAATACTAACATCTTCCTCCATGCCCCAAATCCTCAATCCCATTACCTTTCTGTAGGTAAACACTGTTATCAATTTGGTTTGTATCTTTTTAGACCTTTCAAACCCTTTTCCTCTGTGTTTACATAATAAGTGTGCATAAATACATGTGATTTTGCTTTTTTTTTTTTTTTTTTTAAGCAAATGCTATCTTATTCATGTTTTCTTCAGATCGCCTTTAAAAAAAACCCCTCACTCTCTCTTGGAGTTACAAATGGACACATGTAGATAGATCCATCTCTGCTTTTGAAAGTGCTGTATATAGTATTTCTTTGAATGGATGTACTTGACTACTAGTTCACTTTTAATGTTTTGTGATTATAAATGATGCTGCCGTGAACAGCCTGACCATGTCGTTTAAACTCATCTGTGTTTCTAATATATGTAATGGAATTTCAGGGTGAAGCATTTTAATTTGGATCATAATAATAGCAAGCACTAGCTTTTACTAAGTATGGTCTTCTAGGAGCCGTTTTAAACTCTACATATATTTTCTCATTTAATTCTCACAAAAATCTGCTACTATATTTATTCTCATCTTGCAGTTGAGGAAACTAAGAAAAGTGGCACAAAGTTACAAGATATATAAATGGTAGAGTCAGAACACAAATGCAGGCAGTTTACACAGGCTGTGGTCTGAATTTCCACCCTGTGTTAACTCAGTAGTCTTTTTCAACATTGTGGAGAGAAACCGTAGTACTAAATTTTCACCCTTTTTATGTAGTCTGTGATTATAGGAAGGTTAATCATGGTTCTTTTATTTGTGTTAGGTTCTAGAATATGTTTTGTGCCCCATCAACTTGATATATCATTACTTAGAACTATTCTCAAATTAAGGAGCTTATTACTGAACTAAGATTTATTAATACATTTTATAAATTGAATATCTGCAAGGAAAAAGGAAGGTCATAATATTCAATGATCATCCAGAAAGTTGGGTGTTGTAAGGTGCTGGGAATATGGTAATTGTATGCAAAAATGGATGAAGTTAATAACAATATTTAGTTCAAGAAGTAGAAATTACTAAGCAAAAACACTGGTGGAAATGAGATGAGATTTTCTGATCTATATATCTAAACACATACCTCTAAAGTTATTGTAACTAGGCCAAACAATTTGGCTTAAGAAAAGGGAATAGAGCAAAGTAGTAAGTAGTAATGATTCGGTCACATATTATGTTTGTAATACTATTTGGAAGAGCACTTGGATAAAAAGTTTTGCTCTGTGAGGAATATACAACAAGATTTAAATTAAATGAACTGGAAAATAGCACTTCAAAATCTTTTTATGGAATGCATTAAAACTTAAAACATTGTTTGATATTTAATTAATAATTCCAGCCTAGAAGTAAGCTTTCTCCTTTCTAAAGATATCCATGTAGTCATAAAGGTCACTAAATAGATGACTGAAAGAGATCACACATCACTGAGAAGTTGTATTTAGGGCTGTCTCATGTCATATTCATCTTAAAATATGATTTTGCAAAAATCAATTAAATGTAGAGAAATGCATAGGACTGAAACCAAACAGAATTATAGATTGAAACATGGTACTTTCCTTATATAACATTTAAAGAAAAGTTCAAAGTTTACATGAGTGTATTGTATCTATAGTTATCAGAGATGTAGTATTTTTGCAATTTTTAAAAGATCATGAAAGATGATAAAATTTAAATTAATATTCTTAAATGCATCTCTGAAATACACTATTATTTGTTTGTGCTTATTCTTTACATATACTTGGCTTATAGGCAAACAATTCATAATGCAAAATTCAGAGTAAAATAGAATTTTCATTATTTAGCTTGATTTTCATAGTTGTAAACTATGATAAACATGAATAGTTGCTTATTCAAATCTCTCCCCCAGAGAGATAATAACAAAATTGTGTTTGCTGTAAAATACTATTTGTTGTAAGTCATAGTTTGTAAAGACGCTTTGTTCATACAATTATCTGTTTTTTTCCATTATAACAAAAAATTCAAAAATGGTATATAAATTAGGCAGTGATAACTAGTTTGCTTTGACTATGGCAAGTATACACAGATTTTCATGATGGATACTCAGTCCTTATTTTCTATGACACTAAAACTGTCCTGTTATTTTTTTTTTTTGCAGTTTTTCTTTACATCTTTTGGTGCCAGGGATAGAAGTTATCTCAGTATATTTAGGTTGTGGCAGAACGTGTTATTAGAAAAGGTAAGTGTTTATACCAGAGGAAGGTGCTTATTATAGTAAGAACCTTGCAATGTGTACTTAAACAGAGCTTATGAAAAGGTCTTTTTTATTCTTTCGAATCTAATTTTGACTAGACTTTTCAAATTCCAAGAAGAAACTTCAAGCAAAACAAGATCCATAGTTACAAGTGAAGATGTTAATTGTAATCCCCAGGGTAACCACCAAGAAAATAATTTTTAAAATATAATAAAAGCAACATCAAAAGACCGAAAATGTTACACAAGCAAGTATGTATTTGACACATAAGGAGTCAGTAATGGTGGAATAAAGGTACACAAAAAATATGACATGTAGCAAGTGGAGTGTGGTAGATATTATATAGATCATTAAACATCAGTGTATTAGACACTTCAATCAAAAGGCAGAGATTGATGGAACAAATAAAATACATGATTCAACTATATGCTATGTATAAGGGACAAGTTAGATTCAAAGGTATACTGAAAGTGAAGGAAGGAAATGATATTCCATGCCAATAGTAACCAAAAAAAGAACCAAAGTATTTATAGTAATACCAGAAAAAATAGATTTAAAGATCAAAATTAATAGAGACAAGGAAGAGTGTTTTATAAGGATAAAAGGTACAATTCATCTGGAATTTATAGTAATCATAAACATATGTGCATCTAGTAACAGATTGCTAAATATATATAAAGCAGGGTCTGGGGATTTAGCTCAGTAGTGCCACACCTGCCTTGCAAGCACAAGGCCCTGCGTTCAATCCTCAGTACAGGGGGATATATAATATATATATATGGCAAAAATTGACAGAATATATATATATGAAGCAAAAATTGACAGAATTGAAAGAATAAGAAGACAAATGGGGAAAAAAGTAAGAACCAAGATATATTATGTAAAGGTACAAGTACCCAATGATAAATGTAAATGTATTGTATACCTAAAACGTACCAATAAAAGAAACTAAGGAAAAAAAAGAAGACAATTCAGCAATAATAGTTGGAGACTTCAATGCCCCACTTTTAGTGATTAGTAGAACAATAGACAGATGATCGATAAGGAAGTAGAAGATTTAAACAACACTGTAAACTTAACTAGAAAAAAAATCCATGTGATACTATGACCAACAATAGCAGAAGATAAATCTTTATCAAGGGCACATAAACTCTCTGGAGTAGACTGTAAACAAAGTTATAAAATAAGCCTCAATACATTTAAGATACATTTAAAATAATTAAAATAATAATAAAATGTATTTTCTGATCAGAATGGACTGAAATTACAGATCAATTTTGGGAAACTCACTAGAAAGTGGAAATTAAGTAGGAAAGAAACTGCAAGGGAAAGAGGGAAATGAGTTAAATTAAAACAAAAATATAACAAAGCAAAACAGATAAAGAAATGTTTAAAAGAATGGTCTTGGATCAATAACCAAAATCCACCTTAAGAAATTAGAAAAAGGAGGGCAAATTAAACTCATTGCAAGCAGAATGAAGGTTAAATAATAAAGGTTACAGCAAAAATGAATGAAATAGACAATAAAGAACAGACAGTTCAAAGAAATGGAAAAATCAAAATTGGCAACTTTTTGTCTAGATTGATTAATAAAGAAGACAAATTACATTGGAAGTGAAAGTATTGACATTACTACTGACTTTGCAAAAATAAAATCTTTGATACCAAAATCAGACAAAAAAATCACCAGAAAACTACAGACCAATATCTCTTATGAACACAGACACAAACATTCTCAACAAAATTATTAGCAAACAAAATCCAGCAACATATAAAAAAGGTTACCTGCCATTACCAAGGGAGATTTATACAAGTCAAAGAAGCAGAGGATAGAATGGTGGTTGACAGGGGTAGGAGCAAGGGAGGTAGCTTTGAAATGGAGAGATGTTAGTTAAAAGACACTAAGTTCCAGTTATGCAAAGTGAATGAGTTCTGGAGATCTAATGTATGTCTTGATGACTATAGTTAATAAACTCTGTGTTATATACTTAAGATTTGCTAAGAGGGTACATTCTCACTATGAAATAAAATGGTAACAACATGAAGTGATGGGTAGATATGTTAATTAACTTGGTGGTGAGCATAATACATATATATATCAAAATATCAATTTGTGTACCTTGAATATATACAACTCTTATTTGTTAATTAAACTTCAGTAAAGCTGGAAAAATTAAACAAAATATTGAAGATGTAGAGAAATTAGAGCCCTCAAATACATTGCTGATGAGGTTGTAAAATGATGTAGCAGCTTTGAAAACCAGTTTGGCAGTTCCTCAAAATGTTTCAGAGATTACCATGTAATGCAGCAATTCTACTCCTAGTATATATGTATGAGAATTGAGAGCATATGTTCATACAAAAACTTGTACTCAAATGTTCACAGCAGAATTATTCATAATACTCAAAAGAGAGGAAACAGCTCAGGTGTCCATCCATCAACTGACAAATGAATACATAAACATGGATGACCGTTACAAACATTATGCTATGTAGCAGAAGCCAGCTACAAAAGAACACATATTGTGTGATTCTGTTCTTAAGAAATGTTCAGAATAGGCAGATTCATAGAAATACCCAGTGGATTCTCGAGTTATGACTTACGTATGAACAACTCGAGTTATAACTGGAATTTTAATTTTAACTTATGACCAAAGTCTAGAGTTATGACCCAAATGCCGGCCACTTGTGCTTCCAGATGGTCTCAGATAAAAATTTAACCCTTAAAGAGTTCTGGAAGGAACATTACAACATCTTTTCCTGTGTGGGGTTAATTGAGAAATCCTGGGCCAGTGTCTCTCTAAGGACACAGATCTGCCTGGAAGAAAATGTGACCTCAAATTATACAGGAGAGAGACTTTGAAGTTTATGTAGAGGAGCCTGACTAACCTGAGTTACAACCAGCCCTTGTGAATGAATTGAGTTGGTAGGTCAAGGGTCCACTGTAGAAAGTAAAGTTATTGCCAGGGGGACAGAGTACATGGGAAGCGACTGGTAATGGATTCCAGTATTTTTGGATTGATGAGAATATCCTAAAATTAGCGATGAGTGTTGTACAATTCTGGATATACTAAACACTACTGAATTGTACACTAGTGATGAATTTTATGGTATGCAAATTTAGTACAGTAGAGTTATTTTAAAAAATGTTTAGGGAGGAACAGTGAAAATTTCCAGCAAATAAGAAAAGCTCCCAGCCTGGGGCTGAAGCTCAGTGGTAGAGTTCTCCTCTGGCATGTGAGAGGCCCTGAGTTCCATCCCAAGCACATGCAGTGCTGGCTTAGGGCAGGGGAACTTAACCTAGTCTCTTCTCACTTCTCAGCCAACCACTTCACTGAAGTGGACATATTTTGGCCTCTTTGGGTTGAATAGGTTCTTGAATTCAGCTGCTGAGTTCAGATTCCTTTAAACAGCACCCTAGAGCAGATGCTTTCACTTTGCCACAGTGCAGAGCTGGGGCGGTAGTGGAGGGTGAGTTTGCAGGAATGACCTGGAAGTCAAGACATGGAGGTGGGGGTAGAATAGAGAGGAGAAAGGCCAAGCCTAGCTTGCCCAAATCTTGGAGGGGCCCATGAGTCCTTTAGGGTGTTTGGGTGCCCTGTCTATGCTGTGCCCATGCTCCCAGTTTGAGCGGTGCCCTCCCTAAGGGACAGTTTCACACTGCCAGTCCTTCAGACCATGACACCCACCTACAATGACATGGCACAGGTGCACAGGGGCCCACTTCTCCACGTGCCCATGCCATGTCGTGCTTCCAGGAAGCCTCCTTCACCCGGGACAGGCTTGTCAATTTCAATCCTTTTTCATAATTACTGTGTGCTGTTTTTACTAGCACAGGCTGACAACTCCACTGTTGCCCTAGGAACCTGGCTAAAGCCATCCCTAGACACCAAGTTGTCAAGTGCTCTGGGAATTTCCGCGTGCTTTCTCTTATTCTAAAAAGGAACAGAAGAGGCCATAGTAACCTACCCTTAGTAATACTGGATCTGAATGTCCTCCATAAATCACACTGTGCTCATCACATGCAAGTGAGTTGGAGACATATCCTTATAAAACTGAATACTTCCAAGAAAATGATAAGCTGAGGTATACAGATGAGATCCTGATGTCATTTGTGTTCTTGATGTATACTTGTGGAATACCACAATCTTCACATTATTTGTACCTTTGCATCTTTGGATTATTTGGTCTTTAATACTGTTGGTGTACAACTCTATTTTAAGTGCACATTATGCTCTCATTTTAATAGTAGAACAATGGCCATTGCTGCTCTGTAATAAGATAAAAAACAAGCATATAGTTAAGCATATAGTATGCATTCCATACTATATAAAATTGTTCTAATTGGAATTTTAGAATTCATCCAGAAAAAGAACTGGAAAGACACACAGGAAACCACTTTTGTTGGATTTACCTCATGATCTTTGAAGAATAATGCTAATGTCTACGACAATAGTAATTCCCATTTATGTGGTATTAGGTGCCAAACACATTAGGTGCTTGATATAGTGTTGATGTTGGGAGGAATTTTACAAACTTTATTTGTCTTTTAGGTTTTTTTTTAAACGATAAAGCCACATTGTTTAGATTTATTGATGTTTTATGATACTCTTAAAAAAGAAAATAAAGAAAAAATCCATAGACTATACAGCATATCCATAAAATTCTAGAAAGATCTTGAAAGCATTTTAATTTATTTTATGTGTGCAAATATTTTTAGAGAGTTTATGTTACTAATATTATTTTCATGTTTATTTATAATTAGGAAATCTGAGAGTAAAAATAAGTATTTGTTACTTTGGTATATTTCTTGCATAAGAAGCCCTTAAAAACAAAACAAATTTAGAAGGATTTTTTAATTAGACACTACAAAATAATTTTTGAAATCATATTTGTGGGTTTTATTTCTGCAGTAAAAACCACAAAAGAAAGAATTACAGCCATACTAGTCGATTTGAAAAAGAATGTTTTTAGAAGAACCACCT